GCCACATGGTCAGCAGTTCAAAACCACCAGCAGCTCCAAGGGAGAACGACTCGGCTTTCTACTCCCGTAAACACTTACAGTCTCAGAAACCCAGAGGGGTCACTATGAGTCAGCATTGACTCTGTGGCAATGACTTTGGCTTTGTTTTGGAGCTCTAAATCTGCTTACTTGGGGTTTTCCATCTTGCTTGGGATGAGCCTATTGAGCAAAGGCTTAGCTCTGAAATCCTTTGGGCTGCCTGTGAGCCAATGACTCTGTGAAGTGGCAAAAAGAGGTGATTCCAGGTCACTTCACAATGTGATCCTCACAGGAACAAAACTTTCTCTCCCACGCAGAGCAGCCCAAAATTCTGAGAAAGCTAGTGGGTTGGCTGCAATTTGATAGGCACAGGTGGTATGGCCAACTGCAAGTACCTGGGCTCTCACTGGCATTGCTGTAGCTTTTGGGCTTCACACAGGGTGTCAACAGAGGGGAGTGGGAGGTAGATGGAGCCAAGATGAGATGGCACAGTGAGAGGCGGACTGAGTTGGTGTGGGAGGAACTGAGGGAGGACAGACCATTTCTGGACAGCAGTCTTTGAGTCTGGGCTCATTTGTCTGCAAACAGAGCGAGATGAAGCTGTGGAAAGATGAGTTCGGACACAGGGTCCGTCACAAGTCAGCTAACAAAGGCAGCAGGAGACTTCAGCTGGAAACCAGCATTACTGTGACCTGGCAGACGGTGCTGCTCCGTGTTCAGGTTCTATTTCAGGTGCGCATGACTCTTCAAGAGCACAACCTACTTCTGGCTTCTCCCTTTCCTCTAAACAGGCCTGATGGCCAAGTCCCTTTCTGCTTGAGTTCCTAAGGGCCAGGTCATACAAGGGAGGGTCTAAAGCCACATGGCAGTTTGGAGAGTTCAAGAAGGAGGGGAGGGATGGGAACTGGGCACCTAGGTGTGCCTGCTTTGATAGATGGTGGATTAATCACTTAGTGTCCTGGTGGATCCATCATGGCTTTTAATTACGGCAGGAGGATGGTGACAGCCAGGAAAGGATCCCACAACAGAAGGATAACAAGGTAAGCCAGGGGGCATCTCAATGTCCCATCTATGTGGACTTGCTTCTTCTAAAGGACAAAAGTCCCCGACCCCGTGAAAGAGGGGGTAAATGTGATTGAAAGGCCCCTTTACAAGCTCTCGCTTTTTTTCTACTGCTTTAAAAGTTTTTAATTTGCTTATTTTTGACAACCAAGTTTTATTGACATATAATTCAATGGTCTGACTCTATTGAAAAGAGTTGTGTAATCGTCACCACATCATCACAATGAATTTCAGAACATTTTCTACATTTTTGTACTGTTCTTAGCTCCCTGTTCCTCCACCCACTCACCCCCAATCTCCCCCGCTGCCATAACCCCAGGAAGTTAGTCATCTAACTGCTGTCTTTAAAGACTCACCTATCTTGGATTTCAGACAAAGAAAATCATACAAAACCACCACCCAACAACAAGGTAAGGCACATTAAAAAAAACTAAATTCAAAAGAAAACAGAAAATATTAAAACCCAGAACCAAATAAAAAATGGGCCAAGAGGGAAAACAAAGGATAAGATGCTAATGTTTAGCCTAACCACCTCTGTATCAATTAACTTTCCGATGCACTGTGTCAGAGGCATGGCTACCCACATCCGTGGTCCATGATCAGATGGAATTCCATGGAGGCTTAATCCTCGTGCTGAGTGCAAATGCATTTGGGGCTTTCACCGCCATCCACAGCCTTCTGCAAACCAGGTGCTCAGAAAAGAAGCGCTAGTACAATTCTCTCCTCTGATCTACAAGCCCTCTCCTAGCCAGAGTAAAAGTGAGTTCGATTCTCAGCTTCACATGGGCAGGCACTTGATAAAAACAAAATCAAAATAAAACCATTGGGTTCTACACATCTAACCCTATCTTTTTCCTCCTTTTTAAAATTATTACCCTGCTCTGCTA